AAGAAAGAAGCCCCAAAGATCTAATCTTTATTACAGGCTGAGTAAGTTGCTGACACGTGGTGCTGTTACCGAAGGGTATGGACGCCAAATGTTCAGTTCCTACCAGCTCATGACCCCCATCTTCATCGAAGTCCTCCTCTATCCCATCAGTCATCTCTTCTCCATCCGCATCTGGCCCTCCTTCAGCAGGCTCCTCTGTAGAGTGATCTGCATTCTCTGATACACATTCATCTTGGATCAGCTCTATACTCTCCTCCAATTGTTTCTTCTGAGCTTCTGGGGGGGAAAAAGCAAATGACTACTACCTTGGGTTGCTCATGAGCCATTTGGATAAAAGATGAGAAACAGTCTATGAAAGGGTAAACTCTGTGTACTGTTAAGAGTGTGAGGTATAAGGTAATGTTTCAGTCGAAGTAATTCAGTCATGTGAACTATGTACCTATATGTATGTGCATTTACATGTAAGCACATTGACTTTTTAATGGAATTATAAAAATTAGGGAATCCAGATGATACTAGTAAGTAAAGAAATGAGAATTTACATAAACAGATTGATCTCTTTGGTTATATGCAGTCCTATGTAATAAAGATCTCTCTGAGGAGAAAATACAGCAAAAACAAAAGGGCAAAAATCAGATAAAACATAGAACTTGTTCACTCAAGGAAGGAGGCTGAAGAAAGCTCATTGACAAGTTCCAACCTAAGAGAACAGACAACAGCTCACTGAGGAAAGAAATACAAAAACAGACTGTTGTCTTTCAGACAATATGTCTATATGAACAATCCTTTGAAATTTTTAAGTCTAAATTATGTTGGCAGATACGGTTATCTGTAATGGTTAAGAACAAAATACTGGTGTTAGACAGCCTGGATTCAATGTTGAGCTTCATTGTTTACAAGCTCTGTTTACTAGCAAGGCCAAAATGATTAACCCTCTGTGTGCCTCCGTTGTCTCATCCATACAACTAGGATAACTAACTTTCTGGGACTGGAGTAGTAAATCAAAATGTTTAGTATGGTGATTTGCAAATAATAAGTGCTCAAAAAATGAAGCTACATTCTCATTAATAGAACCCCCTCTTATTACCAGGGTGTGTGCATTCCATTTTTACAAGAGACTTGCCCAAATGGGAATTATGCTGGCAACATAATAGTTGTTTCCCCTAGTGGTAGGTGTTCGTCTCCTGTGAAAATATCAAGAAGCACTGGGTATTGAATAACATGAGATCTTACGTATCCCTTGTTTTCTCTCACCTATTCCCTTGTGTATACAACTATCTCAAAAGCTGGGTGGGTTTTCCTCATTTTGATTGATATTTTACCAGGTGATTTTCTTATTATTTGATTGGAGTTTTAAAAGATGCTACATTTTCAGGTTATTTATTTATATTTTATGGCAACAAAGATAGTTTATAGAGCCAAAAGATTTGGGGGTACTTGTTCTTAGTATTTTTCATAATTGAGTTAAAAAGAAAGTAAGCATTGATATATATTTTTGACTCAGCACAAATCTTTACAAACAACATATAAACAGGTAAAAATGATGTACAAATAAGCAGATATCCTCTTTTATAAAATGCTTAAAATTATAATAATACATCAATAAATATAAGTATCAAATATACAAATATCTTGCCTTTTAAATCTCCAAATAATTAAGTTTATGTATTGAAAATAAGATAGAAGTATAAGGTTGTGCCCTGGCCCTGCTGTCAGATGACAGGATTCTAGTTCCAGCTCTGTTATTTATCAGTGGGACTGCATGCACTGGGGTTGAGTCTAAGTTGTTGATCACTTGGTCAGATCATTTTAAACTTATTAAACCAACCTTTCCTCATCTATCTAAAAGCTTTCTTAATAATACCTACCTCTGGGGTTTGCTGTGAGGATAACAGAGCTTATATTTGGGAAATGTTTTGCAGACTACAAAGGACTATATAAATAAGTATGTTACAGGCAAAAGGAGACAGTATACTCCTCATTGGGAAAATGTCAAAATAGCAAGAACATCAGTAAACATGGAACTGGTAAGACTAAGGAATAACAGTGTAAAAACTGAGTGGGGAGGCTTCATTTCAGAGGAGGAGGAGAGTTGGTAGATCCAGCCAAGGCTAAAAATAATTACTATAGGCATCTTAAATGACAAACCTAGGTTCTTTTTCTTCACACATATATAGACACAGGCAATATATTCCTTGATGTTTTTCTAGCAATTTACTAGCCTCAGGTTTCTCCATCTAACAATATAACTAATGTAGTAATGATGTAAGTTCTGCCTTTACAGCTCTACTTTTTATCTTCATATGCACACAGAAGTGCCGGTGGAAGCAAGTTACGTACATCCACCCTTCTCTCTGACGTCTACATAACATTCAGCATAGAAAGTCCTATGAAGAGTATAAAGTGGTTTTTGTAAAAGTTAACCAAGATTATTTTATCTGAATCTAGAAAAGTATCATTCAAATTAAGTAGAGAAATAATGAGTTAAAGGAAAAAATAAAGATTAAATTTAGGGAAGATGATTCAAATATCTGGATTAAAAGGAAGGCAAATCAGGCAGGAGATAGAGACCAAAAGCGGCCTAAAATTCACTGTGACTGAAAATAGTTCGGTTTTATTTATCTCATCTTCCTTCCACATATTGCCCTCTTTAGCCTAGGCTGACTGAACTACGTAACTATAACCAGCACCTACTGGGAAAAAGTGGTGATGGGAGACTAGTTTGAGAACTGAAATGTTTTGAATCCTCTGACATTAATCACATCTTATGCTCTCCTACTTCATGTCTACAATCAGTGATCCATTGGATGGCAAAATGGATTTGGCTACTCTGGCTGTGACTCTCCACTCTTTGTCCTAAGAGGGATCTTTGTATTCATCACCTGCCCCCCCTCACTTTTAGCCATGCTAGGTGCCGTTTGTTCAAAATACCCTGGCTCTCAAGCCCTGGTGTTGGTATTTCAAGAATGAGAGAGGAATGGAGGTTTGGGATTGGATGATTATTATCCTATACAGTGAAAAATATCCGAAATTTTGCCACTTGTCCAAAAGCTAAGCTTTCCCAATTTTAGGCCACTGTGTTGATTTTTTTTTTGTTATAACACATAATGATACTTCTGCAGAAGATTAGCATTATTTTGGAAATTCATTTGGTCTGACACATCCATCATAATGATGTTCAGAAATATTTGTTCTCTGACAATCCTCAGGTCTTAATGCTGAAAGTAATATCCCCCCCCTTTTTTTTAACTCAAGAAAATCTCTGACCAAAATAGCATGATTTTCAGAGAATCCATGTAGTACCAGACCATAAAAATGCATAGCCGTCATCTAGCTTTGTGTATCAATTTGTTGCAGGTATCTTTGGAATCCAAGCTGACTTTCCTGATCTTCCTAGCTGACTGTGGTCCCTCCTCCTTTCACCAGCCAAAGACCAGGTCAAATGCTATTTTATGGTTATTTCTATTTTACAGCTCTACTTTTTATCTTCATATGCACATAGAAGTACCGATGGAAGCAAGTAATATACATCTGCCCTTCTCTCTGACGTCTACATAACATTCAGCATAGAAAGTCCTAATGAAGAGGAAGAGTCTTCCCCTTTTCTAATTAGTGTTTAAGTTTCCTTGATATTTAGATATTGCCTTAAAAGGTCACTCACACACTCAGAGGGGACAAAATATGTCAATCCTTCATAAAAAGTGCAATACAAGACCAGTTATCAAGTTGTCAAGAAATAGTGTGATGTTCTCTGTACCCATCACTGAATACCTTATAAATAGAAGAGAGAAAGTATTAGAAAAGACATAGGACTTGAGATTCATACTCCCACTAATTACTAGTCTTATTAACTGTAGTTTTCTTCTCTAAAAGGTGAGCATAAAAATAACATCTTACAGAGCTGTGTGCTCAAATGATGAAAAAGAGGTGAATGTCTTTTTAAGTTGTAAAGGTCATACAAACATGTTATCATAAAAGGTTCAAAATAGTTCTTGAGTTGAGCCTATATTGATGTTTGGGTTGCTATAGACCGTCCATGTGAAAAAATCATTCATCACTAAGAATCATTAAGAATCATACATTACAAAGACAATTTTTGCTTTAACATGGACCCTTAATTTCTATGTTTAGACAGACACAGTGTTTTAAGTTATTCTGTTTTTTGTGTCAACACACACTGTATGTGTAATTCCTCTGATGGTCTACTTCAAAGGCAGTGCTGTATCAATATAGTTCAGTGCTAAAGAACTTAAAACTTATCCTCATTTCATCTACTCATTAACTTGAAGGCTTAAAGTATGGAACACATTATCTAATTTGAGGAAAAAACTTTAATTACAATGGTAATCAGTTCATTGGAGTTTAACAAAAATAATCAGCCTGTGCTTTAATAATATGTAGTCCTCATAGGTTTTGTCGCCACTTAAGTGGAAATGTTAAAATCACTAAATAATGTTAGGTCCCATGAATATAATCACACATAAAAGCACATCTTGTTCATTATAGTGAATAAGGTAAATGTGGTAAAATGAAGGTAAAATGTGGGTCTGAGATTTCTTAAAGAGAATTATTCATGTTTATACTGACAAGTCTCCAGGAGAAAAATAAAAAGTTTTCAAGTGCTTACAGAAGGGGAACTGCCTCTGAACACTGGCATCTTGTGGAGTCTGTGTTGACTTAAAAAGTCAAAGTGATGGGTGACCACAGCATTTCTCTATTTTATTTTACCTTTTTTATTGAAGCATTTTTGATATACAAATCTTATATTGGTTTCAAGTGTGCAGCACAGTGGTTCAACAGTTATCCATACTATTAAATCCTCACCCCAACTAGTGTGGTTACTATCTGTCAACATAAGAAGATGTTATGGAATCATTGGGACCATAGCATTTCTTCTGTGAGCAAAGTAGATTAGTCTTAGATTTTTAAAAAAAAGTTTATTAGGAACCATAAAACTAGAAGCTTATGCCTAACAGATCTCTCTGATATTATGTAAGTTATTGATTTCAAAAGAAAAAAAAAAGGCTTATTATGGCTGTAAGTTAGTGAGTACTTATGAAGTGTTGACCATGCAGCATTCATTAACTTTAGGTCTTGAAATACTTTGCAGGGTAGGCTTATTTATCATTGTACAGATGGAGAAACTGAGGCATACATATGTTTGATAAGGTGTCCATGGTCACACAGCTACTAAGTGCAAGAGTAGAAATTCCCACTTAAGGTTTTTTGACTCCATAGGCTATTTTCTATATTTCACTAGAATAAAGGCTTAATTT